TCCTTATCCATGAAAGGCTTTCGAGTTTATGGAACCTTTTGTCTACCTTGCATGCAGAAAGGATCTTGTTCAGCTGTTTGATAAGATCAATCGAGGATCTCTCAAAGAGGGGAAGAAGGGTAGGTGACAGTGTGAACATTATGTTTCTGTTTTCTTCAATATGGTGTTACCTAAACTATCATTTTTTGACGACAGGCAAGGTTCTCCCCGCAAAAGGAAAGGTCCCATTCCTGGCACGAGGGGTGTGGAAAAGTTTCGGTCCGAAGAAGCATTCTATGAGAACCCTCTGCCAGATTGTTTGTGCCAGCAGGAACACGAAGAGTTCGATAACTCACCTGTGCGTAGATAAATTGGTATAGGGGTCCTCCTGCTTCCTGCTGCAGATCTCGGGTCCAGGGGTCTTGGTGGCGACAGAAACGCTGAATTGGAGGACAAGAGGGGCTCCCGTCTGGACCAAGCTGCCACGAGGAGGATTGGCCGAGGCCGAGCGGTAGAGGAGGAGGCAGTGGCAACATTTAATTGAGATTAGCTGTGGCGGGTGGCAACTGCATGCTTGTGCGTTTTGTGTTGGGGGTGTGTTGGGGGTGGGGGGACGGCGGTGTTCCGGGTTTAGTGCGCGCGGGGAAGTGTTTGTTGTCTTGGTGGTTCGTGCGGGGAAGTGTTTGTTGTCTTACAAACTTTATCTATTCTAACTTTTTTAACGGTCAAATTAGCTGTTTCATTGCATTTCCGGAAGCAATGTTGTCTTTTGTAAGACGACAAATACTTCCCCGCGCGCACCACCAACACAACAAACACTTCTCCGCGCGCACCACCAAGACAGCAAATACTTCCCCACCGAGCGTGCTTAATCCAGTTATCTTATTTTTCTATGAGAAATTTTAAAATTTTATTTTCTATTCTTCTATTGCGCACATGTGAGATTACTGATTGAGTTGGTCGAGTCCCTCGAGGCTCACATATATTACGATTCGAGATCTTACATACGACATAGAGATGTCACCGGTGACATAAGAATGTTGTATGCTTGATCGAGTCTCTCGAGGGTATATCATTGAATTAGACTCATTTTGTAATGATGTTGATGATTTAATCAAACATCATGATTGGTTAAGTCCCTCGAGGCCATGATGATTCCATTGGATTAAATAGACCTAACTTATTATCCTCTGTAAGTTTCCCTTTTTTCCTTTCTAATGAGTGATCGAATCTCATAACCTTAATTACGTCTCTTTTGAACGAAAGAAAGAATTAAAAGAGTCTATTGTCATTAGAAATAAATAAATAAATATATATATATATATATATTATTTTTAAAAATTTTAATTAAAAATAATAATAATAAATAATGGTTCGAATCATAACCATCTGAACTAGAATTGGAACCGAAACTAAAGAACTGTCGGTTATGATTTCAATTCTAGAACTAATCTTATGTGATTGGTTTCCAAGATTTTGCGAAACGAGCATCGATAATTTCGGAATCGAAATCGAACGGTTCTGTGCAACAATGTTGATGATAAAAGACTTACCCTTTATCTTATTTGGGCTATATGAGAATGATGCTATTGGGCCTTTTGTTTCCACATATTAATTCGCAATAGGAGCCAACCCATCACGTAATCTAATGCACGAACAGCCCCCGCACCTTATGTTAAAGTTGCGGAAGCAAAATTACAGTGGTGCAATTTCGCGTAGAAGCGATGGATGACAATTTAATTTATGTTGGGATTACGCATCGCATCAAGCGTATTGACATCGTTCCTTCCATCAACAAACGATGATGCGAGCCCCATCATGGAAGCGGACGTCAACACCTGCGCGCCGGTTCGACGCTACACCTCAGCTGCCATCAGTGACGTCAACACCCGCACACCCAGTTCAAAATGGCAACAAATATCGACCCATTCACACCCCATATCGATCTCCCGCAGCAGCAGCATCCTGATCTCAACCAAATGCTGCCACTGTCTCTTCCACCTCACGGCGGCTCGGTCGAGACCGGGGTCGCTCTTATCCTCGAACTCCGTCTATCGGACATACTCCTCCCCCTCCTCCCCATGACAGCTTGGTCGAGACCGGGGTCCCTTTTGTCCTCCAACTCCCCAAAGTAACAGAAGATGCATCTAGCGACTGCTTTGTTGAGTATATACCCTGAAGTTGCAGTAGCCAATGCCACAAAGGCAGTAGTAGCTAGCTAACATGAGGTACATTGCAGTTCGGTTGACTGATGGTGAGTCCATGAGTCCGATGTAACGGACAAGGACATAAAGCACCAGGACGGCATCGAAGATGAAGGTGATCTACATGGCGGAATCATACAACTTGAAGCCCAGTTGTTGCTTGAGGGGTCCTCCTGATCCTGCTGCAGATCTCGGGCCCAGGGTCTTGGTGGCGGCCGAAAGGCTCAGTTGGAGGACAAAAGGGACTCCCGTCTCGACCGAGCTGCCGTGAGGAGGAGGAGGAGTGGCCGATAGACCGAGTTCGAGGATAAGAGGGACCCCGGTCTCGACCAAGCTGCCGTGAGGTGGAGGAGGCAGTGGCAGCCATTTTGAACTGGGGGTGTGGATGTTGACATCACTGATGGCAGGTGAGGTTTCGAGTTGAACCGGCGCGCAGGTGTTGACGTCAACTTGCATGATGGGGCTTTCCTCATGCGTGTGGGTGTGCCAACCCCAAACTGCCTTCTTCGGGACTTATATCCACCTTGATGAGTGGGCTTTCCTCTCTTGGGCTGGCTCGACTGCAACGTATAGTCATGTGTCTTTACCCGACAACATGTCTCCTATCCTCCCACCACGGCGTATAAGTTCGCGATCTTTTGGTCAATGGAAGGCTAAAGAGACCAAAGTCCTATTCTCATATAGCTTAAGGCTGGCGAGGTCTCGACCTCCCCCTTCGGAGGTGTTTATCCCGGTGAACTTAAGGGTTCTTCGAGCCTTAAGAATCAAGTATTCCATCCTAATCAACTTTGAACTGCAAGTGCTTCGGTCAAAGCGACTACTTCATGGATGAGAGGCTCCACCACTCAACTAGTTAATCCATCGCTTGCGCCACATATGACCTTGTTATGTCGCTATGATGAGATATCCTAAACGGGTAAGGCTTTAGATTAGATGTGGTGGGTGCTCCTACATGCTTGAGGTGCGAAATGACTATTATGGTGGGGTGTTTGGGTTTATGGGGCTCACATCAACGATCCATCAACAAACAATGATGCCCCATCATGGTGTTACAAATCCATCGACAAACGACAGATGGAATTGTATCAGCATGATGGGAAATCATTGTTTGTTGATGTGATGGTACGTCACATTCAACTTATGGTCAGAGCAATCCCTTCATGGATGAGAGGCTCCAATACTCACCCAGTTAATCCATCGCCTATGCCACATCGTGGTCATCCGTGGCGTAGGCGACAGATTAACTGGGTGAATGATGGAACCTGTCGTCCATGACGAGGTCATTCCGACCTTAAGTTGACGTGACATATCATCACATCAATAAATGATGATTCCTCGTTGTGTCGGTACAACAATGGAGTTGTACTAACATGATGAGGCATTATCGTTTGTTGATAGAACGATGATGCAAGCCTCTTAATTATATATATATATATAATAAAAATATTAAATGATATAATGTTATTAATATTGATGTTATAATGCATGCATGAACTCAACATTTGGGTCGCAAAAGAAATAAAAAAATAAACAGATTTTCACACAAGAACTACGATAAGATTAAGAAAGCAAAGAAATGTTTTCTTTCTGTCGCCACGCACACGCACACGCACACGCACACGCACACGCACACGCACACGCATGCAGTGCCACCCGCCACAGCTAATCTAAATGAAATGTTGCCACTGCCTCCTCCCCTACCTCTCGGCCTCGTCCATTCCTCCTCCCCATGGCAACTTGGTCCAGACCGGAGTCCCTCTTGTTCTCCAATTCAGTCTTTCTGTCGCCAACAAGACCCTGGGCCCGAGATCTGCAGCAGGAGCAGGAGGACCCCCCCGAATGCAGCAGCTGCCCTCAAAGATGTATGATTTCGCCATGTGGATCACCTCCATCTTCGACGCCGTCTATCTCCTTGTCCGTAACATCGGACTCAGGGACTCGCCATCAGTCAACCGAACTGTAAGGTACCTCATGTTTCCTACTGTCGTTGTGGCGTCGGCTACTGCAACGTTGGGGTATGTCCTCAACATAGCAGTCGCTTGATGCATCTGCTACTGCTCCGTTTTGTTCAGGTAATAAAGTGTTGGGACGCACCCAACCTCCCATCGAGTCTCGGTCCCGTCTGTCTGCCTGTGTCGTGTTTCTGTGTCGGTGTTGTATATTTAAAGCCCCTCACCATCTTTACAATGATGATATCACAAAAACATAGGATAGGATATCATCCTCTATTGATCTTTTGGCACACAGTATCGTCATCATCACGTTGTGGTG